AGCCTTCCTGCTCCCCTGATGCTGCTTGGCCTGCTGTGTTCATCCAGCTCTACACCTTGTTATATCAGAGTTGTATTTCAGTTCATTCATGGGGTATGGGCACTCCTGTAAGCATTTATTCCCCAGGCCTTAATGCCCTTGAGCAATTCATATACTTAGATTCATGGGAATGTGGGCATCACAGGCTGGTCCAGCATTTATTGCCCCGTCCCTAGTTGCCCCTTGAGAACGTGGGCGTGAGCTGCCTTCTTGAACCGCTGCAGTCCACCTACTGTAGGTAGACCCACAATTCCCTGAGGGAGGGGAATTCCAGGATTTTGAAGCAACGACAGCGAAGGAACGGCGATATATTTCCAAGTCAGGATGGTGAGTGGCTAGGTGGGGAATTTGCAGGTAATGGTGTTCCCAAGTATATTGCACCATTTAGGGAGGGAAATTTTGCCTGATCTTTACCCGTAATATTGCCTGACCAATGTGGTTGACCCTTAACTGCTTGACATCATCCAGGAACAAAACAGCCCCCTTGATTGGCACCATATGCACTCCCTCCACCACCGACGCTCAGTAGCAGCAGTGTGTACTATCTACAAGATACGCTGCAGAAATTCACCAAAGATCCTCAGACAGCACCTTCCAAACCCACGACCACCTCCATCTAGAAGGACAAGGGCAGCAGATACATGGGAACACCACCCCCTGCAGGATCCCCTCCAAGCCACTCGCCTTCCTGACTTGGAAATGTACTGAAGCTGGGTCAAGGTTGTTGGAATTCCCTGCCTAATGGCATTATGGGTATCCCTACATCCCAAGGATTGCAGTGGTTCAAGAAAGCAGTTTACCATTGCCTTCTTCAGGGCAAATAAGGATAGGCAATAACAGGCCTGCCAGTAGTGCCCATAACTCATGAATGAATCAGAGAAAAGTTTCATGGTCAAACATTGTTGAAAATTGTTTTAATTTCAGATTTAACATTCTTCCAGCTACCCTGGTGGGATTGAACCCCACGTGTTCAGAGCATAATGCTGGCATTCTGTGTTATTCTTCCAGTGAAGTTACCCAACTGGCTCACTAATGTCCTTCAGGGAAGGAAACTGCCATCCTCACCTGGTCTGACCTACATGTGACTCCAGACCCACAGCAAAGTGGTTGACTCTTAACTGCCCTCTGGGCAATTAGGGACAGGCAATAAATGCTAGCCTAGCCAGTGATGCCCACATCCCATGCGCTGCCCTTTGGAGATGATTTTGTAAGATTGCTGCCCATGCCTATTTGGTGTACAAAGTCCTGTGATAATGTCCAGCTAGTGATGCCCACATCCTGTGAATGGGTAAAAACGGAAGGAAAAAGAAAAACACTCACAGCGACATTCCGGACTTGTTGCCCTGCAAACCAACGCAGTTGTTCCAATATGGCCTTGAAAACTTCAGTCTTGTAACTGGGAAGCTGGTCTACAGCCTGCTTCAATACACTGCCAATGTAGGACAGGGTACAGGCTGCCCCGAACAATATCCCTTCAAAACAATCAAGGAGCGTGCATAAAAAACAACTTGAGCATTTGTAATAGATAACACAGTGTGGAGCTGGAGGAACACAGCAGGCCAGGCCGCATTGGAGGAGCAGGAAAGCTGACGTTTTGGGTCAGGACCCTTCTTCAGATCCTTGAGCATTTATAAGGTGCCTTCAGTGTAGTAAGAAATCCCATAGTCCTTCCCAAGAGCAACTCTCAGACAATGCATGTCTCCAGGCCACCTTATGAGACATTAAACGTGGTGGCTTACAGCTGAGTCAAAGGGATAGAGTTACCTCCAGCCTCTTAAAGAGGGAGGTGGAGAGGCAGCATGGCTTAAGGAGGTTATTCCAGAGCTTAAGGTCTAGGTAGTGCTTAAGACAGAGACACCAAGGAGAGGGGCGATGAAAATTGAGGATGCTCAAGATAGAATTGGAGGTGACCTGATGCCTCGAAGGGTTGTGGGGCTGGAGGAGATCATGAGGATGAGGAGGAGAGGCCACAGAGGGTTGCAGACACAAAAGAAGAGTTTTAGAATCAATTGGGAGCCATTGGAGGCCAGCGAGTGTCTATGTGATTCACTGTTGGGGAATGGGACTGATCCAATTCAAAACCATCCAGCTGGGAGGCATCCTCTTTGGCACCCTGTGCAGCGGGAAAGGAAAACTCGTCGATCCAGAATTTTCAGTTTGCTTTAATTCAATTCAACGTGGCTTCATAGGAGTGGCAGCATAGAAGGAGGCCAGCTCTTCAACCAGTAACTGTCTGCTATAACAGCTCCTGTATACCCCCTACATTCATTTAGGTATCTTCCCTTTGCAGGTACCTACATTAGTAATTACAGAGAACTCATTCCCCACAAAAGGCAGTAAATGCTGGAGATCAACTCAAGTTTTCACAACGGGAATCAATAGGTTTCTTTGTTGGGTCGGCGAATCAAATATAGCAAGCTATGAATTGGGAGCAGAGATTGGCCAATCAGCCTCTCAGCAAAATAATTGATGATCTGTTTCATAGAATCCCTACAGTGTGGAAACAAGCCCTTCGGCCCAACAAGTCCACACTGACCCTCAGAGCATCCCACCCAGACCCCTCCCCCTATAAACTCACCTAATCTACACATCCCTGGACACTATGGGGCAATTTCCCATGTCCAATCCACCTAGCCTGCACATCTTTGGACTGTGGGAGGAAACCCAGACAGACACAAGAAGAATATGCAAACTCCACACAGACAGTTGTCCAAGGGTGGAATTGAACCTGGGTCCCTGGTGCTGTGAGGCAGCAATGTTAACCACTGAGCCATCATGCCACCCTTTTTAATTTCATTTTTAATTTCATATTCCCATCTATCCTTAATAACCCTTCATTCTCCAGCCTATCCACCTCCAACTTAAAAATATGCAGTGATCTCACCTCTACCACCTTCTGAGACAGACAGTTCCAAAGTTGCATACCCTTCCAAGAGAAAACAATTTCTCCTCGTCTCTATCCCAGAAGGGCAATTCTTAAATTTTAAATTATGTCCCTTTAGTTCTGGACTGACCCACAATGGGAAACACCCTTTTCACTTTCACCTTGTCAAGATCATTCAGGATCTTACACACTGCAAGATATGTTCTCCCTTGACTCTTCCAAAATCCAGTGCAAACGAACGGAGCCCATCCAACTCTCGCTTATAAGACATGCAGGTATCAATCTAAAAATGTCCTCTGAGCCACCTTCCTGTATTTATGTTCTTCCTGAAATAAGGAGACTAAAACTGCGCACAGTAATCACAATGTAGTCTTCTCAGTGCCCTACTAAACTGAAGCCTCACTTTTAGATTCAATTCCTCTCATAGTCAAGGATAGCATTACATTGACTTTCCTAATGACTTGCTGTACCTGACTCACACAATACAGCCTTGATCTTCTGCACGTTGAAATTCTGCAGTCGTTCTCTGTTTAAGTAGAACTCTGCCTTCCTATTCTCTCTGTTAAAGTGAACAACTTTTCATTTTCCTACATTATACTCCATCTGCCAGATTTTTGCCCACTCCCTCACTCTATCTATATCAGTCTGCAACCTCCTTATAAAAACCGAAAGAGCTGAGGATGCTGTAAATCAGGAACAAAAACAGAAGTTGCTGGAAAAGCTCAGCAGGCCTGGCAGCATCTATGAAGGAAAAAAACAGAGTTAAAAAACAGAGACCTTTCCTCACCAGACCCAAAACGTTAACTCTGTTTTTCCCTTCACAGATACTGCCAGACCTGCTGAGCTTTTCCAGCAACTTTGTTTTTGCAACCTCCTTATGTTTTCTACACTACACGTTTTCCAATCTACCTTTATGTCATCTGCTACCATGCCTTCACTCCCTTCATCTAAGACATTGATGTAAATTGCAAAAAGTTCAGTTTCCAAAACCTTGCAGAATGTCACTCATCACATCATCATATATGTATACTCTCTGTTTTCTATCAGCCAGCCAATCTTCCATCCAAATTACCCACTGCACCATGAACTCATACTTTGCACAACAACCTTTTAGGGAGCAGCTTGTTGAGTGTCTTCTGGAAATCTAAGTCCAGGAGACATTGGGGTGTAGAGCGAAAGTGGGTAAAATCCCACATTGAGGTACAGATCAGCTGTGATAGATTTGGATGGGAGGCCAGTCTGGAGGAGCTGATGTGCCTGCAGCCATATGTAATGGGTCAGCACGGTGCCTCAGTGGTTAGCATTGCTGCCTCACAGTGCTAGGGACCCGGGTTTGATTCAAGCCTCGGGCAATTGTATGTACGGAGTTTGCACATTCTCCCTGTGTCTGCGTGGATTTCCTCCAGGTGCTCTGATTTCCTCCCACTGTCCAAACCTGTGCAGTTTAGGTGGATTGACTGTGTTAAAATGCCTGTAGCGTCCAGGGATGTGTAAGCTAGCCATGGGAAGTTACAGGAATAGAGTATGTTTGGGTGGGATGCTCTTAAGAGGGTCACGCAGACTCGAAGGGTCGAACAGCCTGCTTCTGCATTGGAAAGATTCTATGGTAATGTTCCTCTTTAATCATGTTAATTGAGATTTCTGTCTTCTGGCGATCATCACATTATTTTCAAACAAAAAGCTAAAAATTCATCTTGATTGATTCTACAATGTTTAATGATGGTCAGTGGGATATTTGACTCACTTATTCCTGCCAAGTATATGGTACCCTCCTGATACAACAGCATCAGGAGTAAACGGATGTTTGTCACGGGTTGGTGGGTCCAGGTCCATAATTTGAACAGGCCACACCTTCACTGCACCTTGAGGCGTGCTGGTACAGTTCTTTCCTAGTTCAGCATATACCTGACTCTGGAGACAACTTGCTGCAGCCGATTCAACCATCCTATGGTGTGGCTAAGTGAACCATTCAGTTGTATTGAAACTACCCTCCGTGGTTCAAGAAGAGGGGCAGCCCACTGGGCAATGAATGATAGCCAAGATCTACTGGCCTCAAAAGAAGACACGTTAAATAAATTGTGGCACCAAGGGAATCTAACCCAATGGGAAAATCAAAGGTCGAACCAACTTTAGAAGGTTGCAGTGTCAGTGGTCTCTGTAACAGAATTATGGGTCCCTAACACCGAACCCCTCTCCCACCCGACCGTACCAATAAAATCATTGCGTACAGACAGTGCCACCTTCACTTACCGGTATCATTGTGGCAGCTAAAATTCATCTCAGGAATATGAGCTGGAGCCAAGATTATTGGGTACAACGTGTTCTTCATTCTCATTTCGATGCCTGTACAGACCCAAGAGAGTGCGAGATGGTGAACATGTCCTCTCCTTCTCTAACCACACTGCCGATGCCAATCTCAGAGGTCCCACTCTCTGGTTACCGTAGCCCACTCACCGCTAACAACGGTTAATGTTACAATTAATGATCTGCCCCAGTAGTTTAAATTGTGTGTTTTGGACAACAAACAATTCCATTCACTTTTTAAAAAATTCATTAATGGGATGAGGATATTGCTGACCAGGCAGCATTTATTGTCCAGCCCTAAATGCCCAGAGGGCAGTTGAGAGTCAACCACATTGCAGTAGGTCTGCAGTCACATGTAGGCCAGACCAGGTAAGGATGGCAGTTTCCTTCCCTAAAGGACATTAGTGAACCAGATGGGTTTTTTTCCCAATATTCAGCAATGTCTTCACTTTTAATTCCAGATATTTTTATTGGATTTGAATTCCACCATCTGCCATGGCAGGATTTGAACTGGGATCCCTGGAAATATTACCAGGGTCTCTGGATTAACAATTCAGTGATAATGCCACTAGGCCATCACCTCCCCAACTCAGCTCAGCTGAGCGCAACAGCCAGATCCTATCTCATTACATTGTGGAAAGGAGAGAGGGTGGTTTATTGGCCTCTCTGCAGTTTTAATCTTACCTACTTCGGTGTTGCCAACCACAAGCCTGGCATCCGGGTGCCTGCCCTTTAAGACCAACAGTTCCTTCAGGGTTGTCGGTTGTATCCAGGTGACACGCTCCCCTTTAAAGATCAGTGTGTGCTGAGGTGATTTCTGAGGTAACTGCAAAACAAAGCTGATCTAGTTAGCCATGTTCGTTGTTCCTCTCCGGGAATTTGCTCATTGAATACGCCCAAAGTTTGCTCATTTAGGCCCAAATGTCCATCTATAAACTTGCATTGGAATTGGGGGCATGGTGAGAGCAGGATTTTAGCACTGCAGATCTGTAAGGCCAAGACTGTGTTTCTGAAGGACAGCAACATGGTACCATGAGGGTGATCACTGGTCACAAAGGCCACTCTTCACATGGTCAAACACAATGCTTAATGTTTTGTTTCGTTTCAGACAATTGCCAGGAGGAAAGATGTGGTCAGTTACTAGGTAAAGTCACCATAGTAACAGAGGACCAGAGTGCTGTCTCGAACTGGTGTGAGTTTACCCCTGAGGGCCAACACATGGTAAGGCGATAGCCCAGTGGTATTATCGCTGGGCTGTTACCAGAGACCCAGATAATGCTCTGGGGTTCAGGTTCAAATCCCACCACAGCAGATCATAATTTGAATTCAATAAAAAATATCTGGAGTTAAGAAGAAACCATGAATCCATTATTAGGGGAAAAACCCATCTGATTCACTAATGTCCATTAGGGAAAGAAACTGCCTTCCTTACCTACATGTGACTCCAGACCCACAGCAATGTGGTTTACTCTTAACTGCCCTCTGGGCAATTAGGGATGGGCAATAAATGCTGCCTGGCCAGCAACACCCTCATCCTGGGAATGAATAAAGGATGCCAGCCAAGCAACTGAGAGGGTGACCTTCATAATAAACTCAGCCAAAGAATAAAATACAGGAACAGGCCCTTCAGCCCACCAAGACTATGCCAACATATGATGCCTTTCTAAACTGAAAACCTTTTGCTTCGACATGGTCCATATCACTCTATTCTCTAACTTATTTATATATCAGTCAAGATGCTTCTCAAACTTTCTTATTGGATCGGTCTCCAGTGCTTTCCAGGCACTTCCCACCCTCTGTGTGAAAAACCTGTCTCTCACATCTCCTTTAATCTTAACCCCTTTTACCTTAAACCAATGTCCCCTAGTAATTGACATTTTTGCCCTGGGAAAAGGGCTCTAATTATCCATTCTATCCATTCCTTTCATAATTTAGTTCTATCTTCTATCTGGTCGCCCCCTCATTCTGCATTGTTTAACTGGAAACAAACCACATTTGTCCAATCTCTAATATTGTACTCTGACACCATCCAAACCAGACAACATCATGGTGTTGGAGCAAATTACTGCAGATGCTGGAATCTGTACTGGAAACAAAAAAAATGCTGGAGATCACAGTGGGTCAGACAGCATCCATGGAGAAAGAGCAAGCTAATGTTTTGAGTCTAGATGACACTTCCTCAGACCCTCTAGTGTCATCTAGACATGAAACATTAGCTTGCTGTCTCTCCATGGATGGTGCCTAACTGGCTGTAATCTCCAGCATTTTTTGTTTACACCCTTCCACTGCTACCTTCTGCCTTCTATAACTAAGCCAGTTCTGTATCCGTCTTACCAACTCACCACAAATCCCATGCGACCTCATCTTTTGTATCGGCCTGCCATGAGGGACCTTGTCAGAGGCCTTGCTAAAGCCCATACAAATAACATCTACCACCCTGCACCTGTTAATCATCTTTGTTACTTAAAAGCTGAATGGACACGACCTTTCTCGCACTAAGCCAGTGTGAGAATACAAACCCATGTTGTTGGTGTTACTCTGCATTCCAACCAACTGAGCTAACTGGAATGGTCAGTTGTTAAAGCTCCAGGGGTCTTGCCAATATTTAACTGAAGCAAGTTTCAGTTGATCCAGTACTTGAAATCAGATAGACAGTCTGATAACTTAGCAAAAGTGAAGGACACACAACAGGTAAAAGTCATCTCTATATTTTTTTTCCCTTATTCATTCACGGGATGAGGGCGTTGCTGGCTAGGCAGCATTTATTGCCCATCCCTAATTGCCCTGACAAAAGTTACAAGTCAACCATATTGCCGTGGGTCTGGAGTCACATGTAGGCTACACCAGGTAAGGATGGCAGTTTCCTTCCCTAAAAGACATTAGCGAACCAGGTGGGTTTTTCCCCAAAAATCAACAATGGTCATCATTAGCCTCTTAATTCCAGATATTTATTGACTTCAAATTCCATCATCTGCCATTAGGGGGATTTGAACCCAGGTCCCTGGGAACATTACCTCAGACTCTGGATTAACAGTCTAGGAATAATACCACTAGGCCATCACCTCCCCTAAATAGCAATCCCAGATGCTGCTAGCAAAGGGCAGCTTTTAGATGAGAATTAGGAATAGGCAAATGATAAATTCTTTGGGGGACATTTGAAGTGATGGTGTGGGAGGTGGAAGAGATTAGGTTAGTATAAATGGTACCAGGCAAGGGCATGTCTAGTTAGTTGGGTGAGAATGGAGAAATGCTGGAGGAGGATGCTGTGTCCAACCGTAAGCACGAGAATATAAACTTAACATGATTTGCAAATGAAGCAAGGGCTATGTGAGAAAAGAATATTTTAACACAGCGAGTAGTTAGGGTATGGAAATTTGGTGGAGGCAGGTTCAGTTGAGACATTCAAGAGGAACCTGGATGGTTACTTGGATAGAAATGGTGTGCAAGGGAAGGGGATGGGGAAAAGGCAAGAGATTGGCTCTGGGTAATGTCGCTTGTTTGAAGAGCTGGTGCCAGCACGATGGGCTGAATGGTCTGCGTTCTGACAATTCTGTGATCCTGTGCATCAAAGACCACAGCTGGAATAAGATCTGAGATTCTAAAGGAGGTGGAGGAGGTTTCAGAGATAGGGAACAGCGAGGCGATGAGTGCGATTTAAAAGCAAGGGCGAAACAAGTGCATTTCTGGGTGGAGATCTAATCTGGTCACCCAAGGTGAGGGGGAATAGTTAATCCGGAATGATACGCTTCAGCAATAGGCACGTCCTTCTGTAATAGAAATGTCACATTTGTACCTACCAGGAACTCTGGCGGGAAAATCGGCTCCTGAGTGGGATCCAGAGGTTTAAACTCTGATGGTTCAAAAAGCCTGGGTGACATCTGTAACAAAGAACAAATGTTTAGTTGTCACTTCCGGAATATACTTTGACAAATGAACCTGATGCTCCTCGGTCCTAAATTCTAGGGTTGGCCCATTGCTGGCCAGTTAAGTGCCTGATGGACACATTTAATTCTGCGGACAGGATTTCTATCACCAATGTTAAATTTCAGCTACTGTAACTCCATTGTATGTACACATGTAAACATGCTGCACGTACACACTTCAGAAGAATTACTCAGAAGCACACGCAGATGAAAAATCACAGAAGTAGCACCAGGAATATGCCTTCAATGAAGTCCAGGTATACTTACCCCAGGTGGATTAGCTCCAAACTGTCCATTGCAGCAGCCATTTTCTGTCCCATTCTGACCGCAGCAGTTTGATGGCTAAAAAGGGAAAAAAAATCATACATTCGGTTTACAAATCCTCATCCCAACCGTTAGTGGCTCAGTGGTGTTAGCACTGCTGCCCTTACAGTGCCAGGAATTTGGGTTCAGCTCCAGCCTTTTGTGACTGTATGTGTGGAGTATGGATATGCAGAGGGATCTGGGTGTGCAGGTCCACAGATCACTGAAGGTGACAGCGCAGGTAGATAAGGTAGTGAAAAAGGCTTATGGCATGCTTGGCTTCATTGGAAAGGGCATTGAGTATAAGGATAAATAAGTTATGCTGCAGCTTTATAGAACTTTAATTAGGCTATGCTTGGAATATTATGTACAGTTTGGTCACCAAAGGATATGGATGCTTTGGAGAGGGTACAGAAAAGGTTTACCAGGATGTTGCCTGGTATGGGGGATTTTAGCTATGAAGAAAGGTTGGACAGACTGGGTTTGTTTTCACTGGAATGTGGGAGGTTGAGGGGCGACCGGATAGAAGTTTATAAGATTGTGAATGGCATGGGTAGAGTGGAAAGTATGAGGCTTTTTCCCAGGGTAGATGGGTCAACTACTCGGGGACACAGGTTCAAGGTGCGAGGGGGGATGTTTAAAAGAGATGTGCAAGGCAAGTTTTTCACACAAAGGGTGGTGAGTGCCTGGAACGAGCTGTCAGAGGAGGTGGTGGAAGCAGACACTATAGCAGTATTCAAGAAACACCCGGACGATAACATGAATACTACAGGAATAGAGGGATACGGATCCTATAAGTGATGACAGTTTTAGTATGAAAGGGCAAAATGTGTCTGCGCAGGCTTGGAGGGCCGAAGGGTCTGCTTCTGTGCTGTACTGTTCTTTGTTCTTTGCACATTCTCCCCGTGTCTGCATGGGTTTCCTCCGGGCGCTCCGGTTTCCTCCCACAGCCCAGAGATGTGCAGGCTAGGTGGATTGGCCATGCTAAATTGCCCGTAGTGTCCAGGGATGTGTGAGTTAAGCGGATTAGCCATGGGAAATGGGATAGTGGGGTGGATCTGGGTGGGAAGCTCTTCGGTGTGGACTTGCTGGGCTGAATGGCCTGTTTCCACATTGCTGATGTTTACCGCCTTATGAAACTGAGATGGAATCGTGATCAGTGCCAAACTCTAATGGAGGTTGGGACGCAGTGGGACTTCTTTCTTCACATTTTCATCTGCTTAGCACCCGTGGGAAAGACTGGGATGAACTGAGGTTAGCTGCTGTTGCCCAAAAAGGAATACTCCCAGGTATTCTTCCCCTTGTGTGACAGGCAAAAGGCAGGGAACTGACTCAGAACTTAATTGAACAAGCCCACCCTAATTTAACCCTTTAAGTGCCAATACTTAATATAAAGCATACATTTTCTTTAATCATTCACGGGATGAGGCCGTCGCTGGCTAGGCAGCATTTATTGCCCATCCCTAATTGCCCAGAGGGTGGTTAAGAGTCAACCACATTGTTGTGAGTCTGGAGTCACATGTAGGCCAGATCAGGTAAGGTTGGCAGTTTCCTTCCCTAGAGGACATTTATTGTAAAATCTACGTATTATTTCATCTAACATAACATCAACTTTAATTCACTTCATTTAACTTCACTTGATCTCACTGCACTTAATCCACATTTAACCCTAATTCTAACTTTAACTATAATTTTGGCTAGAATCAAGTACAACCCAATTTAAGTGAAGTGGCCAAATTTGTTCTGCATGAAGGTGTTGCCTCGTGGTTCTTTGCTCTCTCTGAAGATTAGTTTCTTTTAATTTCAAAAATATACTTTATTCATAAAAAAAAATTTTGTATACATACATTGTCACACATGCAGCTCGGTTCTGTACAGTAGCATATCAAGGAAACAGACAAACATCGGAGTTTGATTCTATCCAAACAAACCAAAGGTATCTCTTACACATACAATACTACAACTGCATGCATTTGAGGCACTGGGGTGGCCCGATAACTGAGCGGAGCCCCATTTAACTTCAGCAGGAAGACGTCAGACAGAGTCATTCCCCCCCTGCACCTTGGCAACAGCTGCCCTAAGCTTTAGTGCATCCCTCAGCACGCAGTCCTGGACTTTGGAATGTGCCCAGTCTGTAACACTCAGTCAGGGTCAACTCCTTGCCCTGGAAGACCAACAAGTTTCAGGCAGACTAATGAGCATCTTTCACTGAGTTGATGGTCCCCCAGGTGCAGTCGGTGTTTGGCTCAGTGTGCGTACCGGGGAACAGACCGTAGAGCACAGAGTCCCGCATCACAGAGCTGCTCGGGATGAACCTCAACACAAACTACTGCATCAGGGCACACACATTTTTTTTTCCAATATGGTCTGGAGGCTCCTTCTCCTCTGAGAAAAGAAATTCCTTTGTTCTGTAAAATGTGCTACTTTCCAGAAAATCTCTGGCGCTCAGCCAATGAATTGATCAAAGCCTGATCACAGCATTCAATGGGGAAGGCAACGGCCTAGTGGTATTATCCCCGGACTGTCAATCCAGAGACCCAGATAATGTCCTGGGGACCTGGGTTCAAATCCCACCTCAGCAGGTGGTGGAATTTGAATTGAATAAAATATCTGGAATTAAGAATCTAATGATGACCACGAATCCATTGTCGATTGTCAGGAAAAACCCACCCTGTTCACTAATATCCTTTAGGGAAGGAAACTGCTGGCCTGACCTACATGTGACTCCAGACCCACAGCAATGTGGTTGACTCTGAACTGCCCTCTAGGCAATTAGGAATGGGCAATAAATGTTTCTTAGCCAGTGATGCCCTCATCTTGTGAATGAATAAAGGAATCCCAGCCAATGGGGTTTACTGGTAAACAACTTCCAGATGTTTACACTAAGCCATAAGCAGTGACATGCTGTGTGCCATATAAGGTAGTAGTGGTGCCAGTGTGTCTAGCTATCACTGTGAAACCTGCCTCATATACATGTAAATTTACATTGGAAGATGCATTTATGCATTGGATGAAGTGCACACATTGCGAATGCAGATGAAAAACCGCAGAAGTAGCACCAGGAGACTGACTTTACGACATTCAGATATACTAACCCCGAGATGATTAGCTGCAAACTGCCCCTTACAGCAGCCATTTTGTTTCCCACTCTGACCACAGCAGCTCGATGGCTGAAAAGAAGAAAAAGAAACAAGACTTATTTGGTCGACACAGGAAACTGAAGATTTTTTTTCCCAAAGAAAGTACAACACAGGAACAGGCCCTTCGGCCCTTCACGCCTGTACCGACATGCTGCCCATCACAACTAAAACCCCCTCCCCTTCCGGGGACCGTATCCCTCTATTCCCATCCTATTCATATATTTGTCAAGACGCCCTTTAAAAGTCACTATAGTATCTGTTTTCACTACCTCCCCCGGCAGCGAGTTCCAGGCGCCCACCACCCTCTGTGTAAAAAACTTGCCTCGTCCATCACCTTTAAACCTTGCCCCTCGCACCTTAAACCCTTGGCCCCTGGTAACTGACTCTTCCACCCTGGGAAAAAGCTTCTAACTGTCCACTCTGTCCATGCCCTTCATAGTCTTGTAGACCTCTATCAGGTCGCCCCTCCCAACCTCCATTGTTCCAGTGAGAACAACCCAATTTTCTCCAATCTCTCCTCATAGCTATTGCCCTCCATACTAGGCAACATCCTGGTAAATCTTTTCTGTACCCTCTCCAAAGCCACCACCAACCTTCTGGTAGTGTGGCGACCAGAATTGAATATTCAACATTTCAAATATGGCCTAACTAATGTTCTATAAAGCTGCAACATTACCTGCCAAATTTTTAAACTCAATGCCCCGGCCGATGAAGGCAAGCATGCCGTATGCCTTGTTGACTACTTTCTCCATCTGCATTGCCACTTTCAGTGACCTGTGTACCTGTACACCCAGATCCCTCTGCCTATCAGTACTCTTAAGGAAGCTGCCATTCACTGTATAAAATCAGATCACGACAGTTTTAACTGAGGTTAGAGTTTAAACTAGCTTGTCCAGAATTCCCAGCATGCTTGATTATAGCTGTTAGTCATTTCCACTATTGGCCACCTGATCCCACTACTATGTTGAACTGGGGCTTGCACAGCCCTTAACCCAGTAGATGTGTGGGAGAGGCACAGGTGATGCTTATCGACTTCCCAAGGTCCTACTGGATTAACATAAGAAACAGTGGTAGGCTATATAGACCATCAAGCCTGCTCTGCCATTCAGGGACAATAGCTGATTGTCAGCTTTGACTCCACTTTCCTACCACCTCCTCAACCCTTTTCATTGACCAAAACTGTGTCTATTTTATCGTTAAGTATACTCAAAGATGCTACATTCACAAGCCTTTGGGGACGGGAATTCCAAAGATTCACCATCTTCTGAAGAAATTCCACCTCATCTCAGGCCTTATTCTGAAACTGTGCCCCATTGTCCTACATTCCCTGACCGATAATACTTCCCCTTTACAGGCCCTTCATAATATTGACGGTTTCACTGACACAAGTCTTTCATTCTTCAAAGTCCCAATTTACCCACAGTAATCAGATTCTTATCGAACAAGTCTTTATCCCAGAGAGCCATCAAATGAACCTTTACTGCTCTGCCTCCAGTGTAAGTCACTCCAAAGCCTTGTATTATCATACAAAGAGCAAAGAACAAAGAACAAAGAAAATTACAGCACAGGAACAGGCCCTTCGGCCCTCCGAGCCTGCGCCGATCCAGATCCTCTATCTAAACCTGTCGCCTACTTTCCAAGGATCTGTATTCCTCTGCTCCCTGCCCATTCATGTATCTGTCTAGATACATCTTAAATGACGCTATCGTGCACGCCTCTACCACCTCCGCTGGCAACACGTTCCAGGCACCCACCACCCTCTGCGTAAATAACTTTCCACGCATATCTCCCTTAAACTTTTCCCCTCTCACCTTGAAATCGTGACCTCTAGTAATTGAGTCCCCCACTCTGGGAAAAAGCTTCTTGCTATCCACCATGTCTATACCTCTCATGATTTTGTAGACCTCAATCAGGTCCCCCCCTTCAACCTCCGTCTTTCTAATGTAAATAATCCTAATCTACTCAACTTCTGTTCATAGCTAGCGCCTCCATACCAGGCAACATCCTGGTGAAAATAGCAGTTCCTTGTTCTTGTATTCCAATTCCCTTGCAAGAAACCATGTTTTCTTGTTTTCAGCGGGAGCAGCGCGAGCTAGAGTGCCGACGGGAAGGTAACGTTTTTTTTTTCTCCAGTATTAAAAACTTACCTCGTGCAGCAGAGGCTCTCTTGTTTTCAGCGGCGGGTGTGTGGAGAGAACATGAGCTAGGAAAGAACTGATATATTCAGGCATTGGCTAAACCGGAAACATTACACGTGTAATGTCTCCCACCCATTCTCCTCCTCTAACCAAAAAAAAGACTGTGTGGAGGGCCGGTAAGGCAAGGCGTTTTTTTATTCTTCTGGCAATCTAGAGTAGAGGGAATGGAAGCTAGGGCAGTTGCATGCTCCTCTTGCGGGATGTGGGAGGTAAGGGTCACTGCTGGTGTCCCCTCTGACTTCACTTGCGAGAAGTGCATCCAACTCCAGCTCCTCACAAACCGCATTAGGGAACTGGAGCTGGAGCTGGATGAACTCCGGATCATTCGGGAGGCTGAGGGGGTGATAGAGAGGAGTTATTAGGAGGTCGTCACACCCAAGGTACAGGGAAAAGGTAGCTGGGTGACTGTCAGGAGGGGGAAAGGGAATAGGAAGACAGTACAGGGATCCCCTGTGGCCCTTCCCCTCAATAATAAGTATATCGTTTTGGATACTGTTGGCGAGGACGACCTACCAGGGGAAGGCCATAGCGGACAGGTCTCTGGCACTGAGCCTGACCCTGTGGCACAGAAGGGCAGGGGGGAGAATAGGAGAGCAATTGTAGTGGGGGATTCAATAGTAAGAGGCACAGACAGGTGGTTCTGTGGACACGAACGAGACGAACGGATGGTATGTTGCCTCCCGGGTACCAGGGTGTGTGACGTCTCGGATTGTGTCTTCAAGATCCTTAAGGGGGAGGGTGAGCAACCAGCAGTCGTGGTACACATCGGTACCAATGACATAGGTAAAAAAAGGACTGAGAATGTGAAAAACGAGTACAGGGAGTTAGGTTGGAAGCTGAAGTCCAGGACAAACAGGGTAGTTATCTCTGGATTACTACCAGTGCCATGTGATAACGAGGTAAGAAATAGGGAGAGAGTGCAGCTAACCATGTGGCTACAGGGCTGGTGTAGGAGGGAGGACTTCCATTATGTGGATAATTGGAGCACATTCTGGGGAAGGTGGGACCTGTACAGTAAGGACGGGTTGCAACTGAACCGGAAGGGCACAAATATCCTGGGAGGGAGGTTTGCTAGAGCTATACAGGATGGTTTAAACTAGATTGGCAGGGGCTGGGGAACCGGATTTGTAATTCAGAGGATGAGGTATTCAGCCTTCCAACAGACACAACAGGGAGTGAGGTTGTTAATAAAGAAATGTGGTCGATGGAGCGTAATTGTGGACACATAGATGGTTTCAGGTGTGTATACTTCAATGCTAGAAGTATCAGAAATAATGCGGATAAACTTAGAGCATGGGTCAGTACTTGGAACTACGATGTTGTGGCCATGACAGAAACTTGTGTAACTCAGGGACAGGAATGGTTGTTGGAAGTTCCAGGATTTAGATGCTTTAAAAGAAATAGGGAGGGTGGTAAAAGAGGCGGGGGAGTGGCATTGCTAGTCAGGGCTAGCCGAGCAGTTACTGAAAGGCAGTTCGAGAATGATATGTCTACAGAGTCAGTTTGGGTTGAGGTCCAGGACAAGAAAGGAGCAGTCACTTTGTTGGGGTTTTTTTACAGACCCCCCAATAGTTGCAGAGAAGTGGAGGAGCGGATTGGGAGGCAGCTACTGGAAAGGTGCAAAAGTCACAGGGTTGTAGTCATGGGTGACTTTAACTTTCCAAATATTGATTGGAAACTTTTTAGTTGTAATAGTTTAGATGGAGCGGATTTTGCCCAGTGCGTTCAGGAAGGATTCCTGACACAGTATGTTGATGGAGCAACATGAGGAGAGGTCACTTTGGATTTGGTGCTTGGCAATGAACTGGGCCAAGTGTTAGATCTGTTGGTAGGAGAGCATTTTGGCGGTAGCAATCATAACTCTGTTACTTTTACAATAGCCATGGAAAAAGATAGGTACATACAGCAGGGTAAGGTTTATAATTGGGGGAAGGGTAATTACAATTCTGTTAGGCAAGAACTGGGTAACATAAAATGGGAACAGATGCAGTCAGGGAAGAGCACTATTGAAATGTGGAGATTGTTTAAGGAATGCATACTGCGTGTTCTCGATATGTTTGTCCCTAGCAGGCAGGGAAGATGCGGTCGAGTGAGGGAGCCTTGGTTCTCAAGAGAGGTCGAACGTCTGGTTAAGAGGAAGAAGGATGCTTATGTAAGGTTTAGGAAACAAGGAACGGAAAAGGCTCTAGAGGGATACAAGTTATCCAGGAAGGAGCTGAAGAAAGAGCTTAGGAGGGCTATAAGGGGGAATGAGAAAACCTTGGCAGATAGGATCAAGGAAAACTCCAAGCCTTTTTACACGTACGTGAGGAATAAGAGAATGACCAGAGAAAGGGTAGGGCTGATCAAGAATTGTAAAGGGAATTTGTGCATGGAGCCTAAAGAGATAGGAGAGGTCCTTAATGAATACTTTTCTTCGGTATTCACTACTGAGAGGGACCTAGTTGTAGAGGAGGACAGTGTGAAACAGGCTGGTCGGCTAGAGGAGGTCGATGTTAGTAAGTAAGATGTGCTAGGAATTATGAGGAAGTTGAAGATAGATAAGTCCCCTGGGCCTGATGGGATTTATCCAAGGATTCTATGGGAAGCGAGGGAAGAGATCGCAGGGCCTTTGGCGATGATCTTTTCATCCTCACTGTTCACGGGTAAGTGCCGGAAGATTGGAGAGAGGCAAACGTCATTATATTGTTCAAAAAAAGGAATAGGGATAACCCCGGAAATTACAGGCCAGTTAGTCTTACATCAGTGGTGGGCAAATTATTGGAAAGGGCTCTGAGAGATAGGATTTATGATCACTTGATAGGCACAGTTTGATTCGTGATAGCTAGCATG